AGTTGCAAAAGTCAAACAGGAAGCTCTCAGGCAGGAGCTCTGCGAAGAGGTGAAAGAGGAGTGGGTGTGTTAAGGAGGTTAGAAGGGAAAAGAAAGGCCAGGGGATTTCTGAGCTTTGGACCACAAGGAAAATAGTGGTTTCTCTGTCATCTTCACTGTACAGGCAAGTAATGCAATTTACTGGTAATTGCTAATTAGGGCCAATGACTGAGGAGACAAACAGCCTACAGATTCCAAAATAAACCCAAATACTCATGGGCTGTTTGCAGGATTTAAATAATTATTTCATCCAAAATGTTACAATTTTTAATTCTGTGACACACAAAGAACTTCAGTAATGTACACTGAATAGAAACTTTGGAGGCAGCTTTTGTTTCATACCTATGTCCAGGGCACTTTTACGAGAAAGGTACTAAAAAACAAATTTGCACAGTTATAGCTATAACCTAAGTAAAATTATGCTATAATTATTATTCTTTCTGTACAAGCAAAGAAATTTATCACTGATAAAAAGCTGAATATGATGCTTTCATATACAGGGTACCACACATTCTCTGGCATTCTCTACTGCTGTTGTTTCCGGCGCGAACTCCGTATCCATTTGTATCTCTAAATCCAAGTGACCATCGACAGGAGAAAGGCAGGCAAGCAGGTCAAGAAGAAAAAAGGTCAAGATGCGCTCCTAACCCATCAGAAACTGAATGGACTTCCAGGTCCATTGGAAGCACAAGGACCACCTGGGTGGTACTTAAACTTGTGGAGAAAGGAAGTAGCTGCTGGGAAGGGTCTCCGGGTCAGACTGCTGCTTCCCATGGGCTTGCTCTGAGCAGATCTAACAGGCTGTCAATGATTTCAAAGCCACACTAAAATGCAAGTTTTGGGAAAGATTTTAGCTCTCTGGATGTTATCTGTAACTGCAGTGCTTGTAAACCTAGCATACAGCCCTTAATCAAGCAGCTAATAGGAAGCTTTTAGAGGAACCGGGAAATTTCACCTCACTCAATGCCAATAAATATTGACTTAATAAACGAGGGTCTTCAGTTTCTGGATCCCCAAGTCTCACAGGGATTGCTTAAACTAACTCTCTAGCTCACTAATCTATAAAGAATATCTCTCCTTGAAAGGGATTAATAGTAAGCGGCAACAAGTAAACCGATTCTCAATTTTTCTACCATCCAAAAGGTCATCAACTCTAGAGCTCAACCCTCCTCTAACCCCTCAGTCCCTCACCAAGTGATGCCAATTCTTCCTCCCCAGGAAAGCTTAGAAAGTAACTCACTTTCTAGAAAGATAAGCAAACCATTTCTGACTCAGGCCTTGACTCATTAGCAACTCTCTTAGCGCACAATCTGAGCAATCTTCCTACCAATGCGGTCCCTTCTCAAGTACCTTCTAGGACAAAGGGAAGATAATTCCTCCTCCCAATACATCCTATGGCAAGGGCAGTATTATTGGTAGCCGCCTTTAATCACAGGCCCAGTCCCTACTTGTCTTTCTTTCCCCTTCCCTATTTCAGCCATTTTTGGTCATGAGAGATATATTGTTTGCAGGAAGATAAATGACAATTCAAGGTTTGAGGAAGTGCTAACAGCACAACACCTGACAGAGGGTGGCAACAAGGCGACGTTCATGGTTAATCGTGGGTACAGACAGATGCACCACAATTTCATACACTGCAAGGAGGCAGCTGGTTTTTGTGGGCTCCAAAGTCAGGCTGCTTGGGTTCAAATACAGGTTCTGCTAAGGCGGTATGACTGGGCAAGTTGCTCAACCATTCTATGCCCCTGGATCTTCATCTATAAAATGGAAATGTTAGTGCCTACCTTAGAACAATTTTCAACCACCAGTGTGTCGCAAGATTTTTTAAAACATGCAGTATCTGTTTAATCAGAGACACTGACCTCTTTTCCCTTAGGTTGTCAAATTAAAAAAAAAAAAAAAAAGACAACAGCCAACACAATAGCCATCCGGCGCGAATGAATCAAAATTATACCTATTTTCTTTGGCAGATTGGCAAAAAATATATTTTTTGGTGTGACACAGAATGTTAGGAATCAGTTTCTGTGTGCCATGAGATGAAAAAGGCTGCAAGTCGCTGCCTTAGAGGGTTGTGAGAATCAAATGATACAAACTTGGAAAGAGTGCAAGCACCAAACAGCAAGTACTAACTGAGCTGTTACTAAGTACTATGTATACATTTTTAAAGAATGAGGAAATTCTATGTGTTAACTTGGAATAAAGTCCATGACACACAGTTTTATGAAAATGCTACTGAATAACATGTTTAGTATGGACCTGTTTGGGGAAGAAATGTATGATACATATTTACAGGTGCATCCAAAGAGGCCTAGAAAGGCACACACACCAAACACGGAATTGCCATTACCCGTGGAGGGTGGGGAAGAACTTATATTTGCATACTGGTCTTTGTTTGAACTAACCTGTACTACTTTTAAAACTAAACATTTTACAGTGGCCTTTCTTAACCCTCAAGTTGAACATCTCTCATGTCCTGGTCTAAGAAACGATAAGCTTCTTACAAACAAGGAAACTGAGGCCCAGCTAGGAAGAGGTAGAGCCCTCTACGTACAATCCCTCCTACATGTCTCATTTCAGATGCCCTTATGATCTTTACAGCCCTGAGCACATCACGTGCCTGCCATAGGATCCAAATATTCTGAAACTGGTGGGCTTTCCCCCCTTTTCCTTTCTGTCCTGCTTATCTAAGGTACTCCTTTTATTGTGTCCAAGTGGCTTCTACATTTTGTTTTTAACAGCTTCCTTCCTACTCCTCTTACAGCTTTCTCCTCATTTGCCTGCTTGTCTTCCTGCCCCTCAGACAGGTGCCCTTGCCCTGGAAAACCCACTGGAGTGACATCCTGGCCCTACACATTCAGGTTTTTGGCAGGCACACGGGCCCCATCTACACACAACTGCAGCACGGAGTATGCCTCCAAGTTGCCTTTTGTCTCACAAAGGGTCCAAGTGGCCTTTTCAACAATGTTTCCTTATTTCAGTAAAGAAACAATGCCTGGTATGTACTGGCAGGCACCTTTCCCCCGCTTAGGTCTTTCCTTACACAGGTGTTTATTTTGGCTTTGGCCCTCTCCTGGAAGTTACAAAGCTATTCTGCAGCTCCGCGCCCCCAGCTTGTTCTCCACGGCGTTCATCTGTATTGTTTGAGCACCCATGCGTTTCGCTTCGCCTTCCTCACTCGCACGCCGGCCGTCCATCCCCATTTATACACATTTCCTCCTTCAGCCCAAGGAGAAGCGGTTATACGCTGACAGGGGAAAGAAAATCGAGTCGCAGAGTCGAAGCAGGGCACGTGCCACCGGGCCGGCACCTCCCGCACCGGAACCCGCGGGTCGGGAACAAGCCCGCCGGGGGGATCCGGGCCACCAGAACAGGGTCAACATCAAAGCGCCCAGGCGTCGGGAGAGCTGATTGGTTCCGGAGGAGCCAATCAGCGGGCAAGGCTGCGCACGGGCGGGGAGGGCCCAGACTACAGAGCGGGCGGAGTTAAAGGTAAAGGGGCAGGTGCGCCGCGGCCCCCGGGTTTCCCGAGCATTTCTGCGCCCACCAGGTCGCTCTTAACCCCGGAACTCCAGTCTCTTACACTCCACCTTCGGAGTTTCGCAGTTTCGTAACGCTAAATAGGGAGAGAAACAGTCCTTATCCTACCATTCATAAAATGGTCATTAAGAGTCAATGGGGGAATAGCCGTAGAGTGGGGCAGAGGCCATTAAATTCCTCCCTCTCTCCTTTCCCAGCTCCACTCCTAGTCAACAAAACTCAATCGGCCCTTGAAATAGTAAATCACTCACACGCTCTCTTAATCGCCAAAGCTGACTGCCAAACACCTGGAATAAGTCCCCCCCTCCCGAAGGACTGGGGGAGACGGTGTTGGCACCGAACGCACGCGCAGGGTTTTACTACCTGCTAAAGGAGAAGCGAATGAGTTATGAGGCTGAAGGGGAGAAACTAAGACCTTCTGAAATGTGCAACCACGGAAGCGAACGCGGCCGCCACCGGGGCTCGGACAGCGCCCCCCGCCCCCACCCGACCCCGGCGCAGGGAGGGCTCCTGCAGGCTCTACCCCCCACACTGCACCTGGAGGCACAAAGGTGTGGGGGGGAGAACGCAGGTACCAGGTTTCCTTGTTGTGTTTCAAACTTCAGCAGAACTGTTCTACGCACGACCAAGTGTCACAGCCCCCGGAGTCCCAGATCCGTCCAGCCTCGGCTTTCCCACGGTCCAGCGCTTCACCCACCCATCCACCACCCATCCCCGGCTGGAGACGCCGCGTCCTTGGG